AATTAATAACTATTGTAACTATAGTGAAAAAATAGGGTGGTTTGCATCAATATTAGACATAACTGGTTGAAGACTGTACCACCTCAGTCAACCGTGACCATGGGACCTGTAAAGGGCCCGAAACGTCGGTTTGTTTGAAAAAACAAATATACGCGATTTAAATCCGGAAAAATAGTTTCATTCCTATGTATAACAATCGCGAAAACCTAAGAACTCGATAAATTATTTATATTTCCTATAGCACTCAGCGCAGTATACGCGTGCGTAATGCAAGTGTACCTAATCGTGTTTCACGGAGCAAGTCGTTATTGTTTACAACTATATTCTTGTGAACATCAAATTTTGATTATCTTTATTTTATCTGTACTCATGAACACACATAGATTACATAGTCCAAATTTGCAATTTTCGGTTCTATAAATTTTCACTGTTTTCATCAGCCTTGGCAGCTAACTTATGTGATACAATCTTAGAGGATGGAAATAGTCTAAGGATCCTATAGCACGACACCATGAAAACCGGTGCAAACCGCTTAACCACCGAGGTCATCAAATACTAAATTATTTTTATGACTTTGCTGTAAGCAAAACATATCTAATAATTAATCAAACTGTTATAACGAATATTCGCAAGTGAAATGTTACCTGCCGGAGCTTGGCGCGTCGCCAGTCCGTTGCGGCAAAGTGCGCGCACGCACTTGTCGAGTGCATCTTTCATTTTGTGTACGTTTTTGGATTTTCAATAATTATTATTTATCTATTTAAGTCACAGATAGCTCTCCGTCTATGTAGTACTTTTATAGTCCGTATCCTGGTTATTCGACATGTTTGGTGCGGTCTTGTGGACCCGCGTTTTATAAATGAAAACTTTCAAAATCAAAAACATGTAAATAGATTAATATGAACTTCGGTTCAATTTGCCTAATAGTAGTGACAACGGTGTACTCTTAACTGCTACTCTTAAATGCAGTTCTTTGAACCTTACTTTGGGTTCAAAAGTTACTTCTTAGTTTTACTGCAATGAAAAGATTCTATCTACTTATTAAGTTTGTACTGTTTCCTATTGCTTACAAATTATTTATACTGTTATAATTTAAAGAAAATATATAATTTATTTGTGAAAAAACCATTAAATTTTTCTAGAACGGTGTAATCGACGAGATCATTCCGGTAATTTACTATTATATTTTGTCTAACAGTTATATCAATGAACACTAATAATGATGAACCTCCATAAGTTCGATAAGCTACATAATAACGTAAAATACACACTAAAAAAGAAACGCCAACACTTTTATTACCTTTATTGTATTCCTAATACAATCTTTATATTGTAACACGAATAACACAAAATGAAAAGTGATTATGTAAAATAATGAGCCGATAATTGGCAATGATAGGTAAAAAGTAACATATCTAGTTATCACAATAGTTATAAATGTAGATCACAACACGAATGATACAACAGTAACATATAATGACATCATCAAGCCTGGTATATACAGTGATAGAACATGATTGGGTGATTCTCCATCCTCCGTTAATCTTCTTGTGTATTCAATAATAGTACATTTTGTAGGTAGGTACACTAAATACGTAATCTAGTGATAGGCCCCTTGGTTGGAAGAAATGGTTCTCGTATCTATACACACGCCCTCTGTACCTGCATAAACAATTGTTTCTCATTACGTCATCTTGCGTGTTGATGATGGCGATGACTGTATTAATGATAGATGTAATGATGATGAAAATTAATTACTCGTGGTATAAATGGTCACTAAAGTAATTTAGGTCAATCACTTCAGTGATGATTGGTATTAAAAATTACTCTTAGTGATGCTGAAAATCACCCGGATGATATCATGGTCGGTATTGTTAGAAACGATGAGTTGTGAGGTGCTCGGAATGCGGATGCAGGATTTATAGACAAAGTTGATAGTTACGAAAGCGTCGCGCGGTGCAACGCCCGGGTGGAAATAGCTAAACCGAATGGTCCGCCGAATGCATGGTATGCAGTGCTTAGGCGTGCCGTTAAATGCATTCCTGGATTTGTCATGCATTTTGGTCCATAATAGCATAGTCGTGTAGTTAAAGTAGTTAAAAAGTTCAGAAAATGTATTTAATTAAGTAGATTATTGTCAGGTTTTCTATTACTGAATTGAAAACGTAAGTAACAAACCTTTGAATTATGCGGATAGGTGACGTAACAACGGTAATAGTGAAACCATTAGGCGTCGTGTTTAAGTATTAATTCATATTACAGGTGTAGTATGGCATTACGAAAACAAATTTACGAGGAAAACAATCAGTTGTGTTTATATTCTGACAACAGCTTAATGTAGGTTATTAAACTCATTATTTCAGAATAGATTTCGCAAGTGTATTAGTGTTAAGACGGCTTATTTTAGGCGGAGAGCCGTATGATTCCAGTTCCAGCGCACATGTTGGCTATTTATACATTTATTTACGATAATGGGGGCATTGCAAAATACATGCAAGTAAAATAAATATTGTACTCACTTGGATCCCAAAGAGCTTTTCGTGTCAAGAACCTCGACGATGTCACCGGCTTTGAGCGAAACTTCGTCGTCTGCCGCCGCCGTGTAGTCCGACGAAGCTACCACCACGTCTTCTACCTAAAACAATAGATAACAATGTTTAAAATAACTTAATTTTATTGCCAAATTTTGAAAACAATTGCGTTTTTGGGATTACCTTCGGGGGACTTCGGCTACAACTAGATCTAGATCTTGTTGAAGAACGAGATGGATAACGCCTGTAAGCTGGCGTGTTGTCAAAACTACTCATTCTACTGCTTGTATTGTCTCTGTCCAATGTGACTCCACTGTACCTCTTATTCCAAGCACCGAGCTTAGTAATTATCTGACTATTGCTTATATTACAGTATCCATTAAAAGTTTCAAGATCGTCTGAAGTTTCGTCGACCATGGGACAGCTGTACATACTGAAACGATGTTTAGTTGGCTGGCTCAAGTTTAGAGCATTAAATACGTGAAGTGGCTCGAAATGACTAATTCCTCTTTCGTCAAGAACTGTGTATGCGACTTGTCCTGTTAAAACAGCGCGGCTTGCTTCTCTGGGAACCACAGCCTGCAAACCTTTCTTCATAATTAATAAAGCACCTCGGTGCTTTTTGCGCTGATACAGGTAATCTTCCATAGCAAGACTGTTTTCGGGATCAAGCAGGTTTATCGGTACGTCAGCAGAAGTCATTAATGGTGTTTCTTCAGGCACTATCATAAGCGCACCACTTTCTCGAACCAAGTCCCTCAAGTTGGGGTCTGTACGAGCCAGTTCAGGTTCAGTTTCTAGTTTCTTTAGAGCAGAGTGTAAATTTGGTTCTTGTTCGGCAAGCTTGCGCATGACTGTCAACCTTTTTAGAATACTTAAACTTGTTTCATCATTAACTATTTTTGAAAAACTTTCTTCATCGTTGACAGAAGAAAGCAGTTTTGCAGCTACATCCCTCATTCCAAGAATTTTAGCTAATCCAACAGATTGAACGATCAATTCTTTCAAATCTTCCTTGTTGTTTTCTTTTAATATTACTTCCAGATCTTTAGCGCTTGCTTCTTGTACAGCCAAAACAATAGCTTTTTGCAGTGTTTCTGTGGCCTCGTGATCAGTTTTGATAAAAGAAATTGTGTCAGAAATGTTTTCCATAACTTGGCGTAAAAGTTTGATGTCATTCTTGGCGATATTTTTAAAGGCAGGTCCAAGTATTTCATTATCAATACTCAAAAAGTCGCCGAATTTTTCAATGATGTCTTCTTCGGTAAAGGAATGTCTATGTAAAGTGCTGTTTACAGCAATTTTTATTAGTTCTAATTTAGGTTGAGAAGAGTGCTCGAGAATTTCTTCACAAAGACCTTCTTTGTCATCTTCTTTTTGGAGAATTTGATACATGGCAGATACAAAATCTTCATCAATAGCTTTACCCAAAATAGTGTCAATAGATTTCAGAATTAATTGATACTTTTCTTTGCAACTGTTGTTATTGTTTTCCTCGAATTGCTCAGCGGTGACTAAGGCTGCCAAAACTGCAGCAGCAATAGAATTTTTCACGTGTTCCTGATGTGCATATCCATTACTGGTTGAACTGTCGCATTCCTCGATCTCCATCCGTTTTTTGTTCATCCTTCCCTTTTTTATACTATTATCATTAGACGATGTTTCACTTTTCGTGCAGTCGCTATGAATTTCGTGAATCTCAGTTTTCAAATGTGCACTCATTTCTATTATACACTTAATAACTTCCATTAACTGGTTAGCAACGTCATCTTTTAAACCAAAATCAGAAACAAATGCCTTCAATGCTTCAGCGTTTCTAGTTTCATTTAGTACAACGTTGATAGCCGGGAGCTCAGCTGGTACTTGTCTGCCAATCGACATACCAGCCTCTGATAGTTGTCGCAACATATTTCTGTCAATAGTCAACTCGCCTTTGGTAGATGTGGTATCATTAGGATTTGTTTTTACTTTCAACAACTTCAGCTCTTCAGGAGTAACAACAAAACTTTGAACAGAATACTCTAAACCTTCTTCGCCTTCAGTGAGATCAGGTGCGACGAACTTCAAACCTTCAGGTGTCTGTACTATCTGTCCAGGTACAAAAGTTACACCATTGTCATCAGTTTCTATTACCCTCCCAGGCACAAACCTAGGCCCTTCTTCCGTATCTACTACTTGACCTGGAACAAATCTTGATCCGTCATCTGTAGAAATTACTTGTCCAGGTATAAAAGTAGGTCCTGCTTTCGTTTCAATAATTTGACCTGGTACAAATCGAGGGCCGTCAATAGTGTGAATAGTTTGACCAGGAACAAACTTAGGCCCATTTTTAGTATTTACTACTTGGCCAGGTACAAATTTAGGGCCATCAGCAGTATCTACAACTTGACCAGGAACAAACTGTTCACCATTTTCCGTGAACACTATTTGCCCTGGTATAAAGATGCCTTCAACCATCATTCCAGGCACGAACCGAGACTCGTTTGCCTCATGCTTAACAAGTCTGCCAGGGACAATTTTTCCCTCGATTTTAGGCGCTCTTGGGCCCGGGTAGAATTCTATTCCTTTGGCTGTTTGTATCATATGTCCAAAGACATACAACGACTCTTCAGATAAGGTACATGTTCTGATGTCAATAGGAAGTCCCAAGTGTGCAGTCTCTGTAAATGTGATGTCTTCGATTGATTTCGCTATGTTGAACTCAACATGTCCATTGGCTTCGACAATAGATTTACCAGGCATAAATTTTTCACCGAGTTCAGTATGAACAATCTGTCCTTCGATGAATTTCGGTCCATCAATAGTATCGACTGTGGTACCGGGTACAAATTCAAGTTTATTATCTTCCATTTTCCGTGTGATACCAGGTACGAAACATGTCTCTCCGTTCATAGAGACAGTCTGTCCTGCAACAAATTTTAATCCATTTGGCGTTGCTATCGTAGCTCCAGGTACGAAATGCACTTTGTTATCTTGATGTACGACTTGGCCAGGCACAAATTGCCATTCGTTATTTATCTTGGCGTTTTGTCCTGGTGTAAAAAGTATTTCATTTCCTTCAGTGCTTATAGTCTGTCCAGGTACAAATTGAACTCCTTCAGGTGTCATTATGGCTTGACCGGGTACAAACATTTCCTCGGGTCCATTATTGACTATTTTGCCAGGAATAAACTTTAGGCCTTCTTCAGATATTACGGTTTGACCTTCCACAAAACGATGTGAGTCATCTTTGTTTTTAATTGTTTGTCCACAAACAAACTCTTCACCATTCGTCGTTTGCATGACTTGTCCAGCAAGGAAAAAAGGCTCATTTGTATTCTCATTTGTAACGACATGCCCTGGAATTAAGCCCGGACCAGCGGGAGTATTTACACTAAGACCAGGTACGAAAACAGGACCCGCCGGAGTTTCTACTGTCTGTCCAGGAATAAAAACAGGTCCCTGTGGGGTATTCACATGTTGACCTGGAATAAACTTTTTAGCTTTATTTATGTCTAATGCCAATCCAGTGACTTTAGCTATTTTTGTTCTCTTGCCTTTGTTGATATTTTTAACGACATCAGGTAAGATTTCTAAGGTGGGAAGCATGCCAATTTTATTCTCTTCCCACAGTTTTTCCGTAACATCAGCTGTCTCAGTTAAACGTTCTTCTGAAAATTGTTTGACAGCGCTCAAGACTGTCTCAGTGGGACGTGCTTTTACAGGCTTCAATGGATTCACGCAAGGCACGTTTTCCAAGGAAAGCGACACATCAGCAATGTTCTGATTGACCTCATAGATTTCCGCTTCGCATTGATATGGAGTTACATCCACAGGTGTTGGCAGCTTAGTAACTTTAGGCACGACGTGCTCATCAGGTATTTCCTTTTCAAAAGCATCCCAGTCCCACGATTCAATAAGTTGATGCATTTGATCTTTCCAGTCACCACTGCACATAACGATACTTGATTTTGAACGCATATGGTTCACGTCAAAACTTGTAGCGTTAAACGATTTCAAATCATGTTTCTCATGGCGGCACTCTTCCAACTTCGCCTTTTTAGACAATCTCACTTTACGATGATTTTCTTCTTGTAGTTCCTCAACTTCTGCTAACCTTTCTTTAGTTTCAAATATCTTCTTCATAGAAGACAGGCCCGCTGCCCTCTTTCTTTTCTTTTTCTTTTCTTCTAACTCTTCGATTTCTCTTTGTTTCAACACTTCAGCATTAGGACCCTCTCCTTCATACATTTCTACTTCTTCGGTAAAGTCTTTAAAGTCCATAGAAACATTGCGTCCCTGCCTTGTTTTTATTAACACTGTGTCCGAGTCTTTAGCCAACATAACATCTCTAACGTCCCCGTCCCGCACTGCCGCCTCCATTCGCGCGGAAAAAACTAAACTGCACCTTCTTTCTTGAACTGTGTATACGTAACGCTTTTCTTCGGTCACTTGTTTAGTCAACAACATTTCTATCAACGCCTTCTGAGCTTCCGTGGAGCCATCCAAAACAGGGAAAATATATCTATAGTCTGGCAGTATGTCATGTTTCCTGTTTCCGTAGTGAATTGCTGGCGTATAGTGATGAGGTCCGAGTTCTCCAGATACATTAGTTATTTTGCATTTAGCTCTCGGCGATCTTGCGGCCAGGAGCACTGGAATGTAGTGATGCGAGGGCAGTCCATAGGATTTGCCGGTGATCCTGCAGCATCGCTTCGCATCTGCCGGCGAGATAGGAGCGAGGAGCGGGAAGTAGTTGGGCTTGGGCAGAGCCCGGCTGCGGCCTGTGATTCTACAGAAAGACATGGTGGCCGTATCACGCCGTCATTGTTTACAAACTATTCAAAGACAAAGTTTGTTTAATATCACGAGTGCGTACGGCGTATCGCGGCGCGAAGTGTGCGCTTGTGCTCAGTGCGAGGGTTGCGGAGCGACTGGCGAGGCGTCGTCGGCGAGCGGGAACTTACGGAGCGCGAGTTTCGCACCTTCGCGGAGGCAGACGGTGTGCCCGCTTGTTCCGGATACAGGTTATTTATAAACAAAAGAGAGATAAATTCATTTCTCACGCCAACCTATATGACACAGTTTTTGTTCAAAACACGAAATTTATAGTCCTGTGTCAGTTTTGTTTGTAACCGTGTGAATTATTATTATCCATGTCTTATTTAACCTTTTATAACATTTAAATTTAATAAAACGTAAATGGTCAGGCAACAAGTAAGTATGTTCATAATTATAGAACAATTATTAGAAAAAAAAACTCCTTTTTCATGTAGCGCGTTACTGTCTGAGAGGTATCTGACAAGGTCATTAAACCAGTACAATTATTTCCTGGAAGTCTTCGGTGAGCCATAACGTTGACATACTAAGTATCTTAATAACTGCGAGGGCTTTAACCCTTATGAATACAAAAGACAGGAACTTTAAAGCATTGTCTTGTCTCATCGTGAGAAATTAAATTATATTTTTTTGAGTGCACATTGTACCTACTTGTGTTGTGTGCCAAATTCAGTTATAATTAAATTACATTCTTGCATTAAAACTAACTGCACGTTTGTTACCCTTACTAAGACATAGTGTCGGTAAGTGAGTATGGCCTTAGCGGAGACACGTACCTAGCAGTGGGCGTTATACTAGGCTGATAATATCATGTTGATATTGTATTAGAGCATTATCCAATGTATAAAAATGAATTCAATGATTCAGAAGTGCGTCTTATAAATAAGCTTTGAAGAAGAATTTCGACAATGTTTAAAACCTTACAATAAACAACAACAAAACAAAATCCAAAATAATCGGTTCTTGAAATAGATGGCCTAATAACGCGATGGGGTTACCAAATAGTAGCGCACGCGCATTTACAGTGAGTTGAAATAAAAATGCCAAGGTATTTGCATAATAAGTATAACTCCTATTGATTATATGAACCGAATTTCTTTTTATTTTAAAAATTTTAATTGCAACTATTGTTACACCAGTGGTTGTGTGACCACAGGTTACATTTTGACTAAATTGAAGGCGCATCATACGACAAAAGTGCTTTTGTAACATGAAAGTTATTAAAATAATAAAGTAATTATATAAAAATAAAAAAGTCATAAAGATACGGAGATAAATAAAAATCCACATAGTGTTACAGCATAACTTCTTTTTTATAATATCAAGTGACGGGACGAACAAGTCGTGCGCCTGATGGTAAGCTACACGCCTGTCTATAACAGTTGCAGTGCCACTCGGAGCTTTAAATCGCAAAGATCTGAGTAAAGACATAAGTTGACATGTGCCTGTGATTTCACCAGCAACCTTACCCTTCAAATCCGGAACACAGAATGCTGACATTACTGCTTGGCGGCACAAATAGGTAACGTGGCAGTATTTCCCTGGACGATTTCTTACACAAGGAGCTCTACTGCTATTAAAAACTTATAGTTAATTGGAAAACAATAAAAAGTCTTCGCTACAAATTATGTAATGTCATTTCACCCTCAATCTTTTATTTAATTTTTAAGGCGCTTCTTATTACAAATGGACAACGGCGTAACCTACTTTGATTAATTGAAAAAAAGCACAGAACTTTCTCCAACATGTCACGCACATGTTCTTCACGCTACTGTTTCTATCCGAAAATAAACTAGTTGCAATTACCCACCGTGAAGGTTCACAAGACGATGTAAGCAAATATACAGAGAACTTCAAAAAGCTCGTTATGTTTGAAGATCTTTATACTTTTATCATCAGTCTCTGTAATCAAAACGAGAATTTAATTCAAAATAAGTTTTCAAAATAAACTTACTAGCACAATTCGTAAATTTATTTTCGGCGTTTCTTACCACTACTTTCAAATGAAATCAATTCTCAGAATGGCTTAGTTGGTATAGCGTCTGGCACGGTACGCTAGAAGACATCGGTTCGAATCCGGCCGGATCGTAGGAATTTTTTCTGAGTGTTCGATCTTTGTATTAATAATTATAACAAACTAGTAGAGTAAGTTCACATAAAAAAATAATTGAACATCAGTTCAATAAAATTTAAATACAATGAATAGCGATATCTCTAGCCAGGGCTGGTAGCTGTATAGATATCTAACTGGACGAAATACTTAAGATTTCTAATAGATGGCGCTACGGCTAAAAAGTCATTGAAAAACCTAATACAAAGACAACAAACACATAGAAAAATTCGTGAGGTCCGCTGGTTCGTTCCGTGACTTAGTTGGTATAGCGTTTGACACGGTACGCTAGAAGACGTCTGTTGGAATCCGACCAGATCGAACGATTTTTTTCTAACGATTAATTTTCAGAATGTTACGAAATAAATTCACACCCTTGGTGTAATAAGGCCAAATCTGCATCGTCTCTTAGTAGCACTTACAGCTCCTTGTGAAAGAGTTCAACATCTTACCTACGTTATCTAAGTCTGCCGCCAAGCAGTAACGTGAAAATAACTGCGTTCCGGTTTGGAAGGGTAAGGGTGTTGGTGAAATTACAGGCACATGGGACTTGTTAATTTATGTCTCTGGGTGATAGGCGCAGTGGCAGTGCCCCTAAGATCCTTTTTGTCCCATCATAAAAAAAGCAATGCAAGAATTTAATTTCATTTTAAAACCTATTCCGCGCCGCCATCTTTAAATTCAAATCTGTTTTTGTAAACTCTTTAATAAATAAAATCTAAAAAATTGTGTCTTGCTAATTGTTCTCACTACTTGATGAGCCTATTTTGCGCTATTAGTTAATGCGCCATGAAAGTCATCCTGTGATACGACGATAAAATTATAGCCAATAGCACAAATTCGGATCGATCGGTTCCTGAAATAGCTGCAATATAAACTAAAAATTAACCCGGTCAAGATTAGCCGTCCAACCCCTTAGATCATCGGCCAAATTCGATAAATAAATCTTGAGTTTTTCTCAAAGCGCGAAAAAATTAGGCTCGTAAATTATTCGCCATGAATAAACGTAAACCTTTGATTTCGACTGTTGCCGATTGAAATGTAAATTCACGCATTTTTTCTCTTCGATCGATTAAGTAGGTTTGGATAGATATTAAAAAAAATGTGACAACAACCGCTTAGGATGAATATAGAAATTACGAAATGAAATGTTACAGAATCTTGCAAGGTTTTTTCAATAAATACGATGTTTGATATTGAACCCTATTGTAATAAAGCCACATCTGCCAAGTTACAACGTTTCAGTAGACAATTTTCAAGATTGCACGAACGAAATTATTCGGTAAGTTTTTTTGTAATTAAATAGGAGAGATATAAAATGTCATATGTACTTAATTTTTTTCTTGTAGTGCGTATTATGTTTGCGGCTTTCCGATGATAAATGCACTTTAATTAGTCGCGCAGTAGACCCATACTCTATAAACCTTTTCCTTAGACAACCGGGTCTAACAGTATTTGTAGTCACTACCCATCTCTGACAGCACCTTAAATTTGAGTTCCGCATGCGACACGATGTTAACTTCTCTTATTTCATCTATATATATAAATGTAGTTGTCCACATATAGCACAACACGATTAACTGTTGTTCACGACTTTTGTCACGTTACGACGACAGACTGTCGAGACAATGGGATTGTCGATAAAAATGTGACGACTATAATCGCAGCTTCAAACTATTCTGTCGTGCAAACGACAAGGCGGCAGCCTTGTACGATCTAGTGAGAACAGCTAGACTTGACAAATTGTTCAACGATAAAATAAATTTCCACGACACAGTCGCCACAGATAGTCGTGATATGGGAACAGGCTAGACGCGACAGTCGCCTAAGATAAATAATACGTTACGACATAGTGGGAACGCGCCATTACGGTGCCGACACATGGACGCTCACGCAGAAGGCTGCGTATAGGATGAAAATTCCTAGATAACCATGTCTAGCAAATCAAAAGACAATATCAAGTACGAAGCTTTATTCGCATCACGCGTCTCGAGTATTACTTACTTATTTGATAGTAATTTGTTTCGGACAAATGTTGGACGGAAAGCGGGAGTAGATCCCCTGATTAATAAATAAGTAAGGACGTTGCCACATCGTGTAACAAAAGACAAATTAATTTAAAGACGAACATCGTAACTTTCCTATAACGAATACTCAAGTTTTAATCAACGACATTTATTTGCCCACGTTTTCTAACGTCACGAGAATAGCATTCGAGCTAAGATCACGCTCATTTAAATGAGTATACACTTGACCTAGGGAATAGGAAGCTAAATATTTTCAGTGAGAGTTCGGCTTTGAGAAAAAGTAGGCTACTTATGAATGTCGAGAAACATCTGTTACATTCGAGGATATCATTGAAACTCAGATTATTTTCAGCTTAACGAAATTTAATCTTCAATCTAAGATTAGAAAGTCGAAATTATTTTTGTTTTGTGATGATCCTCGGCAGTGTCACCGCGAAAAGCGCGGCGTACATTCTCGTAGAAACTAATAACTTGGTAGAACGCCAGATAATTACACCAAAAACCTGACCTTAAACTAAAGGATCCCATGTATTCGAAGACAGTGCGGTATCAAAGTATAATTAAAAACATATAAACAAATAAATATCACACTTACGCCAGTGACGGAAAACATGAAGCATAATAATAATGGACATGTCTTGCGGAGGAAGAATGTCATGTGACGAGAAGAGTGTGAGGTAAGAATGTGGAGGGATGTAATTGGAAAGGAAGGCCAAAGCAAAGGTGGATGGATTGTGTGAGAGACGACATGGATAAGAAACTTGTGAGTATGGAAATGACGGCTGACGGAGAGTGCAAGAAAAATACATGTTGTGCCGACCTGCAATCGATGGGTCTTATGTATACGGGTCACAGCGCAAATCACAATTTTACAGGAGAGGCTTCCAAACTTTCAATCTGGTATATTTTCAAGATTTCCTTGTATTTCGAGGTTTCCTTGAATATGTTTGATTTTGTTTTAACGCTACTTATAGATTATAATGAATATAGAAACATTTCCCACAAAAAAGGGAAA